TTGATTAGGACAGCAAAGGAATTAATAAAGGCAGCATGGCCTTGCAGCATCTCTCAACCCTAGAGGTATTTATGGTGGCCTCAGCATTTCCCTAGTGAACATGAATTTTAAGGGGAAATTAGATGCAGCTGGACACGTTTATTCCTAACGCAGAGGTAGTCCTAAATAAAGCTTTCCTGTTCTAGTCGCGTGCCAAAGAAAACGCTGCACTTGTATACTACAGACCACAGCTCCTTTCATCTGGTTGCTCACTTCCTGCTTCTTTCTCCACCTGCCTGAAGCACCCTCCTTCCCTCTTTGCTGATAGCCCATCACATGCCTGAAGTATAACCACAAGAAAAAAAAAAAAAAAAAAAAAAAGGAATGAAATCAGGGAATGGGAAAGTTAGGCAAGATGCTGGAAAGGGACAGAAACTCTTCTCAAGGCATCTGGAAACAGGTCTTCCAACAGCTTGGTCCCTGCCCTCGAGCGGGGCTGTGTCAAGGAGCAGGCTGCTCCCACCAGCTACCTGGGATCTCAGGAAGGATTCTGAGCCCCCCCAAGATACAATTTACTTATGCTGCCTATTTGGGTCTGCAAGGCCAAAACAGCCCCTTCTGCAAGCAGAGAAGTTTGAGAATAGCTGCATTAGAAGCACGCCTACCCTGGCACTGCTAAGATGTGCTGATAGAAACAGCAGACTGTGTCACAGGGGGCTCCAAACCTATGATTATCATTTAGCTTCCTTTAATACAACAGCCACACTGTTCTCACCAACTTGGAAGTAACTTAGTTCAAACACTCAAGTGCACAAAAAGAAAGCAGCATCCTCCTAAGACTGCACATTTGCATGTACAGGGCTTGACACACTGCTCAGGATGCCCTCATCAGAATGCTTGAGGGATCTTTTGGCATTTTGGGGTGGGGTTGTTTGTTGGGGTTTTTATTTTTTTGGGGTTTGGGTTGGGTTTTTTTTTGAGACGAGTTCCCCCTAGAGGACCACTGACACAGCATACAGCTGAATAAGCTGGGACTAGCTGAGGAGCAGAGAACACAAAGTATTTACACTGAACCCAGTTTGCTGAACAATAATCCCTTACTTCAGCCCACTAGAAGAAAACTACAGATTTTTGCATTAAAAAAAGTCTTCCCTCTACTGCCAAAAGCTGAATAGCAGGGAAGGAAATAGTCACCAACATGAATTTTTTGTCCTTTGTTAATTATGAAGGTATAAACATTTAAAAAAAGAAGTTAAATACCTGGTTGGGCTCATTCAATAACCAGCCAAAGGTTTTGACCCCAAAGGCCGCTTCATGAGCGGACACATCGAGACATGTGACAGGTTGACCATAGACAGAATGGAGGATTTTGCCAGGATCTTCTACTTTCAGGAGATAGACGATGTCTTCTGCAGCTGCTACTGTCACTGGGCTGCCCGTAACATCTGGAACCAGATTAAGGAAGTTGACCTAAAAAGAGCAGACTTTTAATTTTCATTACAGCCAAAAAGTCTTCTAGATCACTACTGCAAACTATGATGATGTGTTTATTGGCTATCTTTAATCATCCCAATTATCGATTCATTTCAGACAAAGACCAAGTATCAATTTTATTTCTGAACTTTTGCAAGTTTGGCTCCTATGATGAAATCTAGCTTGCAAGCTTTAGAATGAGCCCAGTTAAAAACCCACTCAGAACACATTGCAACACAACACACACAGTGTCACATCAAAGAAAGGCACAAGACTTAATGGACTCGTTCAGACAGAAAGCCATCACAAAGCAAATATTGTGGCTAGAATGTGAATACAGTGCTCCGGAAGAGGCATCACGTTCATGCAACTAACGTGGAAGAGTTGATGCTTACCCTGAAATCATGTATATATACCCTAAATCAACAGAAAAGTCATGACGTGACACTAGGACAGCCTGAGTATGAGCTCCCCTATCTCCAGTCAAGGACCAGAATGACATTGCTCTTCCCATGTCAGTAAATCGTTAAGACATTGCTGAAAAGTCTCACCATGGGAAGGGTTTAAACTCCTAAACAGCACAGCTGATTTCTAACCCAACCTTAGGAGAGAGCGTGGCATCCTGACCGTCTGTCTTTCACATGTGGCAAAGTGACATTTCACAGCAAGATGCAAGAGTAAAATGGATCCAACTATGATGGAGCAGGTAGTGGTGTTTTAACATTTTTACTGGGAAACCTCTTAAAAAAATAAACAAAATCCCCAAACATTGTAAGTAGTGTAAGACTGAGCTTTGAAAGAGGAGCTTAATAAGGAGTGGTTTAAATCACAACTTCATACCCATTAGCTGTGCAGTAGCTTCTTACAATAGGAGAGAAGCTGCAAGACTCGATTTATTCCTATGCACTTCCTTCCCCTTTCAAAAAAAAAAGTCGATACTCTGAGACATAATAAAACTTCAGAGAATGGGACAGCTTTTGATTTTTAATTAAAGTAGTCTCAAAACTTCAGTGACAGAAGGTGCAACCTAAAGAAGCTGCACAACTAGTTACAGCTTTGCAAGTGATACTATTAGCTCGTCTGCAATATCCTGCCTCAGAATTAATCAGATAGCGTTGATCTGGAATGAGACCTTGAGTTTTAGCTCCAATTCTACGCGAGAAAACTGATTTACAAAATGAGCCAACTTAGTTTGATGTTGACAAAAAAAAAAATAATTAAAACCAGCCAACCTCCTGCACCATATGGACTTCTATTCATTTTCACTTGTAGCTTAAGCCAGCATTTCACCCTTGCTCCTCAGTGATGAAAGGCTCGTCCATTAACCTGCTTCAAAATCCCAGCCTCTAGCTGATAATGCTGTTGTCTAGTTCATGCAAAACTCTTGTAAGATTTTTATAAGATCCCTCTTAACCGTACCAAAAATAATTAGTGGATCAAGAGCTCCTGGAATGAAGCTGAGTAGCCTGGAGACTCACCAATTTCTGGATTTCAAATGTTTCTGTAGTTCGCCAGAATCCTCTGTCATTAGGGCTTTCCACTTTGACCTCGAAGCCAGATGCCGTTGCTACCGTTGCACCCTCTGAACCAAGAGCTAAAGCCTGTATCCTCTGATTGTGCTGGTAATGATGGATTGGCTCCCGCCCGAACATCAGGCTCCACACACTAACAGTTCCTGTATATAAAAAAAAAAAAAACAAAACCACAAAAAACCAAAAAAAAAAAAAAACAAAACACCAAAAAACCAAAAAAAAAAAAAAACAAAACACCAAAAAACCAAAAAAAAAAAAAAACAAAACACCAAAAAACCAAAAAAAAAAAAAAACAAAACCACAAAAAAACAAAAAACCACTAAGCTTTACCTTAGAATTTAAGAAAACTTTAAAAAATCATTTAAAGGTGTAAGCTTAGAAGCATTCTAATGGAAAAGGTTTATGTACAGAAAAGAAGCTGTAGGGCAGGAGACCAGAACTTCAGGACACTGCGTAGCACATTAACAGGTTCAGAGGAAACGTTCCAAAATTATGGGCTCTGGCATTAGAGGCTTGTTGCTCCCTAAGTAATTCCTGATTTTTTTAAGTTTAGATAACATTGTTATCTACCTTGAGGAAGACTGCTTGAATTCTCTCACTTTTCCACATTTGGAGGAGATCAGACTTCAGGAGAGACCTACGTTTTTATTCTGCTATATACTTGCCCTCAGTTAAAACATACTTGCCCCCATTAAAAACAGTGAGGAAGAAACCATGCTCAAATTTAAGTCACTCTGCCACACACAGAAAAGTTTTAAAGTAAAGACCATGAAGCTCTGCACACAGCAATCAAGCCAGGGATTTTAATGCCATTCTTAACAGTTTACAGCCAGCAGCAAAGCTCGTGATGCCGATGCTCTGGAAAACCAGCAAACGCCTTCAGAAAGCTGAAGACGACAAACCCCAAAGAATGCAGGAGTACAAGTCAAAAGACAATACATTTGCACTTGCGTTTCTTCCCGGCACAGATCACCGATACTCTATTTAAAAGCATGGTGCATTAACGCAATAATCTGAGTAAGAGCAACCTGAAGCAATCAGGAGTGTATTACAGAACACAAGGGCCAGACGGAATTGGAGACTTCTGGGCCACCTTTGCACTGAATTAACGGAGAAGCAATCTTCAGGCGTGACAGACAGGGCTGGAGAAGCCTTCCTTCGACTCGAGCACGGCCATTAATGATGAAATGATTAATGGTAGCTATTCCTTCAAAAGGAGACATAAAAGCTCTGACAGACAGCTGTGGACGGGCACCAATGCCAGTTTGCAAATACTCCTCCTGTGTCCCAAAGGAGGTGAAGCAAGAGTGTGGTAATGAAACTGCACATAGTGAAATGGTATCTAAATGAGTTTAAATTGATTTATCTTTGCTTTTGTAAAGATTATTTGGTATCTGGAAAGTGCTACCCATGTGAAATAATGCAGATAATCCTTAAGATCCCTGTCTAATGGCACTCCCACTGAATATTTATATTCCTCGCCATGGGAATGAGTACTATAATGGGGACCATTTTTGTTTTATTAGGGATGCATATTTAAATTAATCTGCTATTTGCCTAAACAATTAGCTGCCTCTGTTTGTTTACACAAAGCCAAAACTGCAATTAGGCTTCCATCAAAAAGATAAGTCCCGACTAAAACTGTCCCGATGGAGTCATAAGGGCTCAGAGCAGAACTTCCCAAAATTACTTCTTAGCATAATGGCAATTATGTTAATTGCTTGAAAGGTAAATAACTGCTGAACTGGTTTTGAAAAACAGAATGCTAGCGTGCATCACACATGCTTACGCTTGAAACAAGTTAATAAATACAAATGGACAGCACAGGCTACAATTCCCTCCGCAGCCCGGTCTGCCCCACGCGAAGGCTCAGCAGCGGCACTTCCGAGCCCTCACAGCGAGCCCTCGGCTCCAAACTAAACCAAAGGGAATGGGTGAAGTCTCATCTCCAGGACAGCTGATTTAAACAAGCAAACAAACAAGCAGCAATGCTAAAAGACTGTAGTGATAGCGGATCAGGGACTTTAGACCTGGACTTTTTCATCAGACGATGAATACTGCTGTCAAGTTCCTCTGGGCAGGAGTGTTTTCAGCTGCTTTTTTCCAAACATTCATCCCAATTAAAGACTGCTTTTGTGAAGGGGAAAAGATTTGCTTTCAGTCAAGTCTTTTGTTTATGCATCTCTGTGATGAGCACTTCACTGTTTTTAACAGAGCGCATCAACGTATGGAAGTTCTGCGACACACAAAAAATATTCAAGTCAAACAACCCTCTCCTGACCACGCGAGCAAACTGGGCAACCCAGAATTCAGAGTTCTGCTCTCCAAAATGGGGCAAGAAAGACACTAATATTACTAGTGCATCTCCAATATCACAGAGAAGGCAGCAAAAACAGCTCATGCAATAGTACAATCAATTTGAGACAGGCACTTTTTTTTTTTAATCCACATAGCAATAGCAAAATCTGTTCAAAATGCCTAAAATTGTTATCAGGCAAATACAGTGTGTGCAACCCCCGATGCACAGGACAGTGTGAAAACATCCCTGGTAATATCAAAACCACAAAGTGGCTTGTAAAGATCACGAGTTAACATCTGTTTAATGAAGCAGCTCAATATAAGGAGTAAAAAGGGAGAGTTGAAAAAGAACGTAAAGAGCAAGAGAAATGCCGTTTTATTTCATTAGGATGAACAATTATTTGCTTGCTAAAGGACCACTTGTCCCCCTTGCTCCTCCCCTCCTCCCGAAGAGCATTTAATTCTGTATGTGCATCCTCCGTCATCTGTTCCTTGCTACCAGTCAGCAGCTCCAATCCCCGTGCGCGAGGACCTGCTGTGGAAACACACTGTTGTCAAAACAGGGGCGCACATTCCTGCGTGACAGCGGGCACACATTACCAAATCTTACAGAGAAAAGGCAAACACTCCACTGTATTTATCGATAGGTAAAGCTATTACTGGGTCTAAAAGTGCTACTCAGAATATTCTGTCTCCTGTATTTCACTGCAGAAACAGCAAAATGTATTTATTAGTGTGCAAGCCTTTGCAACAGTCAATCATGTTTGTGTAAGAGCAAAAAAAAAGCCACCATTACAGTTAAAGTTATTAGTATGGCAACATAAAAAAAAAAATTCAGGCGTAAGATTTACCAGTGCAGATGAGATCACTACTTTCCACAGTCTATCTTCCTGCCTCCAGCAATGACCATTCATTCATTTCCAATATCTTTGCTAAGGTGAAGTTAAGGTTGCAAGCTTAGAGTACCTTTTCTTTTTTTTTTTTTTTTTTTGAATACTGTAATTGTAAGTGTTAGAAAGTCATTAAATCAGACTTATAAGCAACACTTTCACAGCATGCTAAAATCTGCACCACAATTGTGATTGTTCCATTTGAACTCTGACAATAACTCTTCAAACTGATTTAGACTTTACAGCATGCTTATATTTGATCTTGGCTCAAGGCAACAAGTTAAGCACATGAAGCTGATGAAGACTGCATGATTGCTGACACTTGACATGACAATCACTGCACCAGTCGTCTTGTTTATCACTTTGGCCCAGATTGTACAAAGAATTTAGGTTTGTAACTTCTAACCCAATACTTTGTTGAAACGTGGCCTGGTGAAAAGTCCATTTATTCCAATTCACTCTAGATTGGAAGAGATTGGGATAAAACATTTAACTCTTGAGTCCACTGTGCCTTACGCTGCACTGCTGACCCTGACTGTACTCCAATTGCTGTACGCACCAGCCAGTCTTCCACCTCTCTTGTATGAAGGTGAATGGCTGGACGCTGTTCTCCATTAACACTGCCCATCTCTAGTGTATTCCCCTCTTTGCGCCAAAGACATCCTGCACAAGCAGCTGGTTTTATCTCTGTTTTCACATAGGTGTCTCTGGTAGAAAAGGCAACACTTTTGCCACAAAATAAATAAATAAATCTGTTTTCATTTAAAACATTAATTCTGTAATAGGGAAAGGCAGCAGACGCAAAAAAATGTTAAATCACATTTGTAAATCTTACGCTGGCTGTGTTCACCATCGTAACACAGCATGGCATGGCTCCTTCCAAGACCTAGCTGCAGCAGAGGACAGCCACCTGCTAGTGTTCCCAGCTAAAAGCAAACCCGTGGGCTAAGCAGAGGGAAGGCTGTGTTTTGGTGCAGAAGATCCTATGCTCAGATCCTAATGACCCATTACATCAGCTCTTCCACATTAAGACAATATGGCTAGCAGTTGCTGTCAGCTTTAGAGAAGATGTAGAGCGATCTACATGTGTGTTATCTGCAAAAATAAAAGCAAAGACAGAATTTTGTACATGCTGGGGCAGGGAATCATGATCTTCATGGTCATTCACTTCAGCTTCTAAACACAGTTGCGTGGAAAGACCAGAAGCTGCTTGATGCACATCATCTACATGATGTTTTCTCTGTTTGTGGGTCACAGTCTTGCCATTTCCAATCTTGATTTAAACAAAATAAAATTCTTTTTCACCTTTCTTAGATGTAATTTTTTCCTCTAAGCTGGGAACTTTGATTTATTTCCTTATCATTTCCAGGTAACATCATATTTCTATGAAGTGCAGTTAACAAAACACACAGGTGGGAAGGAGCACCAGTCTGAAGTCTCAAAGCTGCCAATCTTGAATTTTGAGCTTCTCCCCAAACCATTCCTAGTCAGAGGCACCACCAACACACGGCCAACTTGACCCTAGTAGATAATTGGTGTTTATTAACTAAAATTTTACACATTATTTTCATGGCAGTGCTGTTTCTCAACTTCAGCAGGTACAGCAAGCTACTTACCGTACTGAATAGTGAGACTAGACCTCAGTTGTAAGAGTCGTGCCTTCATGTTACCATTACCACATCAGTTTCCACCAAACGTCATCAGGTTTTATTTCTACCACTCTTCTTTTACAGAGATTTCCAAGTGACACCATCCCTGTACCATCCCCTCGGAACAGGCACGGATGAGAAAGTCTGTATTTTATTCCCAGTTTGGGGACTCAAGGGGCAGACTTCCCTGCCCATGACGTGAAATCACACACCATTTACCCAAACCAAGGGTTGTGCAGCCACAGCCACCTGTATGTATCTGATGGGAATAAATACAGTACCACATGCTACATTCGGTCTTCTTCAAAAACTTTTTCCTTTATTCAAGCCAGCCTGTTTCCCTGCTCTTGCTATCTTACAGCATGTCCTGGCACGTAGGGGAAGACTCCAAACACATCACTGTCTTTGCAAAAAAGGTGCAGAAGGGACAACACCCGCAAGCATCTTTAAGGGCATCAGAATGGACAAGACAGCAGATTTCCAGTCCCAGAAAGTAGTGCTGCCAAAATTCCCTTCCTGGAGCCTGCCAACAACCAAGAGCTCTTCTGATCCCTGCAGAAACCACCTTCTTTTGCTCCATGTTGCTACTTTGCAACTTGTGAAGTACCACCAACTCCTCCCAAGGGGTCTCAAAGCACCACCATGAATGGGAGCAGCGTGGCATCTCCCCACCATGCCTACACGAGTACAATGCACGGCATTTAAAAAAAGTACATTCTCTTGTTGCAGCACATTGTTTTCAAGTCAAACTATGAGACTCCGGAGGGCAGGGGGGAGGGTGATGGCTAAAGTAGACTGCTGTTTCCCAAAAGCTGTGGCTCACAGCCAAAGTCAGGCAAGCATGGAGCAGATGGAGTCCTGGCAAGGCCGCTACTGTCCCTGCATTAGCAGCATCTGCTCATTACCCAGAACCCTCGCCTGCTTTATCTAATGCTCCAGGAAAAGCATTTTGATTTGATTCATTTCAATTCGGTAACGTGCAACACAATTAGTGGTAAAATCAAACTGGAGGACTGCCAGTGCTGACAATAGGAAACAAGGCAGAAGAAATATGAGGCCAGTGGGTTGGAATTCAAAAATCACAACTGTGGATCAAGTTGCCAAGTCCCGTTGCCCCAGGTGTACATACAGTGCCCCCACTGAGCATTGGCATGGGCGGAGGGAACTTCATTTTCTCCCCATACATTTTTCTCTCATTTACCTCTCCTTGCAGCTTGTTTCTCAGAGGCTGACACCGTCGGAAACATTCACCAGAAGTCACAATCCAATTTTTCTTTAGTGCCATCGTGGAGTTACAATTCACTTTGGATGCAGGCATCCCAGTAAGACAAAGCTTTTCCTTTGCTATATTTCATATGCCTTGGGAAGCGTTTGCTACTACCTAACCAGTAAAACAGCGCTGTAAGGCAGGCACGGCGTGAGCAGAATCTGCTTGTTAGTTCTTCCCTGTGATCGGATGCCAAGGACATCGCTGCGTGAGCTCTGTTGAACTGGGAGAAACTGATGTTATCTGAACGAGTCTGCTAGCCAGGGATTCGACAGAGAAGTCTAGACTCTTTGCCTGACAGCACCACCTCCAACACTAGCAGATGGTTTCTCTGTGTTAGTCAAACTTACAAACAAAGAGAAAAGGGAGCTGGAAAAGTACAACAAAGAACAATCAAATACATTATCTTCAAAGTCGTCGTCATCCCCTTCTCCAAGTTTAAAATAATTCTCTCCACCAAACTGTAAATATACGCTTTCAGATTCCAGTTAGTAAACATTTCTAAACTCAGTCTTTATCATTCCCTATTCTGACCAGGCTTCTCAAATCAGAGTAACTGCCATATCACAGAGCCCATTAAAATTTCTACCCAAAAGAAGAAAAGACGCCGAGCTTTATGCAAACTAGTTTAGTCACAGCACACACAGGACTGACGACAAGGAACATGACAGAAAAAAAAAAAACCCAGAAATATTATTAGATTAGTGAGTGGGAGACCAGAAAACAAACAAAAGACCCTCTGCTAGTCACTGTTTGGCACACTGGACAGAGAGCCAACGCTCAAAACTATCACTTTTATAATTTCCTATGACTCACGTAAGTAATACGAACGAGTATTCTGTAATATCGGACTTGCTGTTGTCAGAAAACCATGCCTACCAACAATTTTTAGCCACAGAAAACCGTTCTAGCGTGATCCATGCTAGAAAAACAGCTAAGGATGTTGATCATCTTACAACAGTTGTTTTCACATATTTCACACATAAAGCATTTAATTCTAAAATAAAATATGTGGATTAGAGATTTTGTTTGGATTACCCATCTTCGGTTTTGTTTCCACATGCAGAAATGCCAAGATCAAAGACAGTGTGTGTACAAAGCTCCCTAACTTTAAAAATACTCTTTATTCATACCCAAGGAGAGGTGTTTAAGTGTCAAATCATACATTTTGAAGAAAGATGATAGCAGTTGAGTTCTGCCTGAGCAGCTCAGCCTAGGATCCCAACTGGCTAGCACTGTCCAAACCTGACTTTTTTAATTGCAGTAGATGTACGGTTGATCTCTGGCTCTCGTTGCCCATTATATAAACATCTAAGTATATTTAAAACAATGCATGTAACCAGGATTTTATTATGGTTTCATTAAATATTAGGTCACAGTTTTTATTTCTCTATATCAAAGTATACAATAACCCACCATTGCAAAGTGATACTTCAGTTAAGAAATTGTGCATCCATACACCATGCCAAGAGCAAGAGAGGACACAGATTAATCAGACATGCAAGTTTACCAGTATTCCCATAACAAAGCCTCGCAGCACCCCAAGGGAGTTTTGGACAGACGAGAAGGCTGGTGGAAGAATATTTAATATTTTTATAGCAAAACAAGTTATTTGCTTAAGATAGTTTGGCTGGACTACAGCCTGGCACTCAAGCTTTGTGTAGCAGTTCCAGTAGGAATTAAACATCAGTTTTAATGGGTGCTATGTTCCAATGCCTCCTAATGCATTTAGGGTTATTGGCCAACTTTCTCACATAAAAGCAAGTGTGTGCATGTGTGTGTGTATACAGGATTACAGACACACAAAAAGCTGAGCACAGCTGCTTCATTTCTGTAAAGCTTTTTTTTTTTTTTTTTTTTTAAATAGGGAGGAGAGTTGTGGTTACTTACCGTCCTCGTAAGCTGCTACAGCCAGAGAGCTGTTTATCCTCACAAAGGAGACATGTGGCTGAGGTCCAGCATCACCAGGACCATGCACTGGTTCCAGGATGGGGGCTGTGTAGTCCCAGGTGCGAGTGTCCCACAACCTCACTTCTCCTGATGTATATCTGGAAAAGAAGGCTGTTATTCATCCCAAAACAGCTAAAAAGAGGTAGCTGCAAGAGAAGGGAGGAAGAAACACGAAGTATCTTGGAGCCTTTTACAGTTCCTAGGCCGATTCTCCTCCTGTTTATGCACTATGTGTACAAACCCATCAACTTTGCTCATTTTATTCCCATTTACCAAATGCAGCATCAAGCCTACCAAGACAGGCAGGTATACTGGAGCTACAAGAATGACGTGACTGAGCTCCCACAGGTTACCAGCGACCAATATTAGGTTTACATATAGAATACAAAGAGACCCAGGCTCAAGGGGAAAAAAAGGTAACGAGTAATGAGTCCAAATTACATCATGGCAAAACTTCAAACTGTTTCCTTTCAGTCTTTAAAAATTTGTGATTGTGGTTGTGCCAAGGAAGGGCTGTTTAATCAGAGCGTTATGTACACACATACAGGCACGCATGTGCGCACACCCATCCAGCTTGCTGGTCTTTATAGAAAGAAACTTCTTAATGCCTCATCAACTGATCAGATTCGCCTACATCTCTTAAGACTAATGAATTTACTGATACAATTAAGTGTTGTCTTTAGAATTAAGGCAGTGCTGCCTTCTTTGCAGAAGGCTCTCTCTTTGAAACATCAGAAAAACTATAGTTTCATGTCAAACTATAGTTTGATAATAAGAAAATAAAAAAACTAGAACTAAACTTGTCAGATAATACTGACTATATCTGAATGAACAAAGGTTGTAACACAGCAAGCAACACAGAAACTGCTCTGTACCATCTATGCTGTGGAACACAACATACTATTAAAGAAAAAAAAAATCACTACAGGCAAAAGAGAGGCGAAGCTCCCACTGTGACTGGTCGAAGACCACAGTTCAATAGTTATTTGGAACAGTTCAATAATTAAGATCAGTTTTGACAGAACTGTGACAATTAACACTATCAAACAGTCTCAGATGTCTTTTCTGCCATACCCAAGACTTGGATTCTGTTGGAAAATATGAAGGGTGCTTCCTGCTCTGTCAGCTTTGTCGTTATATCCTGACTTTTTGGGGAAAAGATTTTCAACAGAAGATTCTTATAAGCCTCAAAGGTCTACTGGCTAGAAATCTAGATGTTTATCAGGAAAACAAGAAAATAGTTATTTACAAAGGAGGTGAAGGAAGGTACTTAATAAAGGTTTAGAAGATGTTGGACTTCGACTCAGGTTACCCAGGTCTTCGGGGAGTACCATGCAATGGGACTACAGGTACTCTGGAGCAGATTACTTCCAAAATCTCCGAGTGAAAAAGCTCCACTTTACACAACTAATTAAAGTGTCTGAAGGGATGGTGAAATCTGTCAAGCAGAAAGAGATGCACATTAATTCTCTGCACTGAATTGGGAAGAGAGAAGAACTATGTCCTTGTCACCTGGCTTCCTCTTCAGTGCTTCACACGGTAAGACAGAAGAAAAGGAGGGAATAGGCTGTGATAGTACTCCTCGCGTTTCCTTCTTCTGCAAACAAGGCCCAAATCCCTCTACGAACCTTGGTTTCATTCCCAGTTTACAGCAGCACTATTTAAAAAGAATAGCTGAAGAAAGAAGCTTCCCCAAAACAAAGCTAAACGTTTCTTGTTGGACCCAACAAGCAGTCCAGCTTGGTCCGCAACAAACCTCTTCAGTTCACAAAATTGAGAAGTGGTCATTTCAGATACATTTTAAAACCTGGAGATAAAAGACAACGGGACAGGTAATTGTACAGTCCCATTCAACAAGACACACACACACTATTTTGGAAGCATTTTCATTTTTAGCTGCATTTCATTTCCCTTTATGCCTGGGTTGGTCGGGGTCATGTTTTCAAACTTCTCCTAACTGCAAGGAGTAGCAGATTATTCTCAAGGGGGAAGCCAAAATTCTCTGGTCGCTACATGATCCTGAAAAGTGAGTTTCAAGGGAGACATAAAATACTGGTAGAATTGACAGAACATTAATTTTCATCTCCAAATAAAGAAGAACAGCATCTAGGGCATATACATACTTGCTCTCACATAGTCCAGTCTAGGAATTCAAAAAGAGACTAAAAGACAGAGAAAACAGAATGACAGGAATAGAGAAGAGACACAGGGATGGCTAATTCTCTGAACACACTGCTTCTGGTTTTTCTACGTAGCATGCAACACAACTGATCCAGGGCTCAAGACATGCTACCATCCATAAAAATCCCCATGGACCTCAACCTTGAAATTAAAGATCCAACATCATAGTACCGCAGTAACCGCTTTAATTTTTTTTTCTGAGAATTCAACCAAATTGAAATTTAGTTTGAACCATTCCTTGTTCTTGAAGAACCACCTGTACAGCTAAGCTTAAACTGGAATAGAACCACCAAATGTTTCTGACTATCAATTTGAAACAAATTTGACTCAAATTCCAATCTCTTTATGCTAGGATCTGTTAAATGTAGGAACTGTCTCTGCATCAGACCACCCTGCAGCCTCCTCATCTTCACCACCTTTCTCTCCAGTGACGGATAGGTACACGCTGAAAAGCTTTCACTTCTATGCCACAAAGCCATGCTGCTCACCCACCCCTAGCCAGGACCTGTTGCACACAGGAGCGCATTACGATTACCTTAGGTCCGCTCTAGTGGGTTGAAACAGATACCACGGAACAATCCACAAGAGGATCCTGGCCATAGTGCTAATTCCTGCTCTGTCATGACAGAGGATGGGGAGCACTGTATGTGCCAGGAGAAACCTGCAAGCACCCACCAAACCCTACCTTCACGGGCATCTGTCCAGAAATCCCACCACTGCACTGGAAGATAAGACAAATGTTTTACATTCATCTGGAAGAGGAGGAAGGAGGGCAGTAAGGCATCTTTGCCCCCATCCCTCCTGTATCCCTCCTACCCCCATTTCTCACTCAGCAACACCACTCCCATCCTTCCCGGTGCAGTATAACAGCAAATCAATCCCACGTGGCAAACCTAAAGGATTTGGAGAGATTTTACAAGACCATGCTGGAAACATAAGTGAAGGTCTAGGTTTGGGCAGGGAACCAGCATGGGGAAATGGGAGATATAAACCATCTCCTCAGCTGACAACACGCTCCATTGGCCATCACCACCGCATGCCCACTTCCAGCATACACTGGGCCTGTACCAGAACTGAACTGGAAGAATTTCAAACACAGATGAATCCAATTCAGAACTAAAAAATTTAATGGTTCAACTCCCTGCTTTTAATGCTGTTGTAAAGAGCAACACACTTTCAATTTGTAACCACAACAAAAGGCTTTTAAACTATTAAAGCATTGCCTGGCTGTAAAAAAAATAAAAAGGCTGCTTTATTGCAGATAATTGGCAAATCTGCCGTATCAATATAGGTGGCTAAAGAGAAGAACACGCTGCACTTTACAGAACCTATTTCTAGATAATTTCAGTATTTCTATTCATTTCTTACCACAACAACTTTTACACTTCGCCATGAAAATTTAGTTCGGGTTACCAGCTACTGAATGAAAGAACCCTATATTTAAGTCTTCTGCCCCAGAACAGGCACAGTCCTCCAAACTCATTCAGTTACTGATTTTTTCTATCAAGATGGCTATGAAAGGCCCACACAGCCTTCTGCTGGAGTGGAAAAAAACACCCAACAAAAAAAACACAAAAACACCCCCCCAAACACCACCCC